AATATATAGTTAGAGTAAATAACATTGAACTATCTTCGTTGGTTGTTGCTTTTATGCCTGAGGTATTAGGCCACTTTTAAGGCCTCAAAAATCCAAAATTTGTTATTCCATTTTAAATAAACTGGGTTATGGTATTACATTATAGTAATATCATAAATTTTTAATTCGAAATGTAATTTCCAAAGTAAGTTTACAGTCATGGCAATCACTATTCTAGGCCACAGAGTACCCAAGATTGTAAAGTACATGAAATCGTTTATTGTTTAATAATCAACTTCAAAAACTCCCAGAAACAACGAGCAATAAATTATTTGATGGTATGACGATGAATATTGCAATTTGAAATTTTTATAATAACCTGACGAAGTGACGTAATTTTTGGAGAAGACAGAAATTGTTACAATTTCTAAATCTAGAAGAAAATGCGTCACATGATAGATACAGACGCTCGTTAACAGTCGTTACTAAAGATGCTTGAAGATTCTACCGGAAGTTCGAAGAGAAGCCAAAAGAGGCTAACTACAATGCAAAAAGACTGCTGCATAATGCAGGCAACGCAAGCTGCAATAAATTTGAAACTTCTACTTTTATACCAAGAATATCGTAAAGCACAGCTTTGAGCACGTTTCTTGCGAAATCGAGTTTCTCAAATTGCCTTGCAGCTTTACAAATAATTTGTCTGGGATCCTTAAAGCTTCCGCTGTATTTTCGAAACTTAGTTGTCTACAGAGGTGTACACAGATTTTTCGACTCAGTATAAACCTTCTTTGTTATACACAATTTAGTGCAAAATTTTTGAACTAGAAAAGATCTCTTCCGAACAATATCATCGTTTCTGAAATCAATATTTCGACCTGCACATATGCACTTTTCTAGTTAACTTCGTATAGGTCATGTAAAGTATCGAATTTTCCTACTCCAAAACATAGGGTAGTTCTGCTGCAGGCCGCGACCAAAGGTCATGTCAAAAATGGTTAGCGCCAGATGGTTCCAGTGTCGTCACTTTTTTCCACCGTAACCTTTAATTCTTTTGTATACTTTAGAATATGTACTATACAACTCTTGAGAGGTATTCTTCTTTCTTGTCACTTTGCCAAAAGAAACCTTGAAAGTTATACATGCATTTTAAATCTCGAAGGTAGCTTAACCCCTCGCCATTCTTAATAATTTTCTCCCTGAAGAGGTTAAGGCGTACTTAAAAATTCAACCTTATGAAATATTGCTACGCTATCCTGTTTAAGGTTGTCATCGAACAAAAAATCTTTCCCGTTGCCGATACAACGGACTCGTCGCTAACTCGACGCAATGCTCGCAATTTTGATAGAATACCGTAGAAAATCTATGTACCTGTCATTGTGTTCCCTGTGCCGCAATAGGAGGAGAAAGCATCAATTAATATCAAGTCTTTCTTATTAATTGACACTGATAGACTCTGATACCAATTGATAAATCGACTGAAACGTCCAATTTTAACGTTTGCTTTTAAGAGTGATCGACTCTTCGCTATTCGCTGTGAAAGCAGGAAAATCTGGATGTACACTACTCGTGAATGTAATGGACAAAATTTTTCGAAAGTTTATCAAGCTTATGGCGCATTAGATGGAACTAGCACGTTTAGATTGCGTAATGGATACGTGTGTCACGGCGAAGTGGACAGAAATATTTTCTAAAAGCGTTTTTTTATATGAGTATATTTATTCAGTGTATTAATGTAACTCAAGATCATGAAAACTCAGGCGTATGTTAGGTACATGCATACATGTAAGTTACACATATGTACTTAAAATATTTAACTTGAAAGGTATCCCATGTGTAGGCAGTGTCTTAAAGCTATAGTCCATATGTGGACAATATGTCTTACAGTGATAATCCATATGTAGACAATATGGCTTAAAGTTACAATCCATATGTAAACAATGTGTCTTAAAGTGACAGTTCATATATAGACATTATATCTTAAATTGATAATCCATATGGAGACAATATTGTTAAAGGGATAATTCATACGTAGGCAATATACCTTAAGTGATAACCCACATGTAGACAGTATGCCTTAAAATAATAATCCATATGTAGATAATATGTCTTAAAGTGACAACCTATCTACAAGTGACATTCAGACCGCTTTCCCCATCAAACGCAGACCAAAAGATCAACACATTTTAATCAGACGTAGACGTCTACGTAGCATTTCTTACATTACGATACCTTTTACGATACGAAACTTGTACCGATAAGACTTTTCTGTAGTCACAAGGCGATTAGGGATAAGTGAACCCGAGCAAGGTGGCAGTGGGCTGATATCAGAAGGAAACAGCGGCTACTTCCGAAAAGGCCGGTTATTACCTAGGGAACGATAACAATCGGTAGGTTCCCAGCTCACATATCAATGGCAATTTGCGTGTGAATACGATAGAAATCGTTAATAGAGGGGTGGCGTGGGTGGATGCTGACCTTTCTAGATTACGTGGCACGCGCACTAACACGCATTGTTTTGTGCCGACGCAAACACTGAGACTACGACTGTTAGCCCGCTGGCAACAAATGCGGTTTCCGTCTCTGTATTTACGTAAAATACTAGAACATTCTAAACTTTAGATAGTTAGCAACACTGAGGATTTTGTTGAGGATTAACGGTAGGCAGAGACAAAACTTCGTCCTGGGCAAGTCTGACACACGTACAAAACTCGCCAGAACGTCTGAAGTTATGTTCATTCGTTTATGAAACTTTGCTACTTTATAGAATTTGTTTAGGTGATTTCTACTGCATTTTGCGCACTCCAATTATTTTGGAGATATTCATAATTTAAGTTGGAATTTATAGGTTAAACCATATTTTATTTAATTTTTTACAACCCAACTCTCTGCGTATCTTATAAGAACAAAATGGCGGCGCTGCTTGTCACAGAATGGCGCTGCTCGTCACAAAATAAAAACCACGACGTTGATTTTGACTGCTCTCCTCACTAGTCTTTAAAGAGCCGTTTTTAAAATTAATAAACAGAAGATTAATATATTAACAAATATTTTTCATGATAAAATATTTACTTAAAAATATGCATTCTTCAGTTGCCAATCGCTGTTTCAATGAAACAGGTTTAGAACTGCAATAAGTCGTTCGACGACCAAAATGAACACACGGTAGAAAGTAATAAAGTTAAAATATCGATACAATCAGTAACTTACGTGTCGGTGATGCATCAACAAGATGCCCGATATTATCAATATTACAGGTACCATTCAATTAAGGTAGCAATTACGAATAACAACATGGTAGATAAAAAATAGTTACTGAACGAGTTAATCTTGTTTATCATCCCTTATGCCTTGTGCTCTTATTAATCATCGACGGTCGTGCGATGTCCCAAACCAATCAACATGGTTGCTCACACGTTTGTACACTATCTATCATGTCCACGCATCGGAAGTCATTCTTCAAACAGAATTCTTCCATTTACATACGTCTATACGCGTCCCATAAATTTGTTACATTAGAACCGGACTGCGAATGTTTATGCAATTATTTACGATACGTGTCCGCGGAATGAATTATGATTTGTGACGGATGTAGATTTAAACCGGATATCTAAAGTGGATGTAATAGTAAAAATATGGGGCATAGTAAATATATACATTTACTAAATGATGTATTTATGGGTAATATTAGTGCTCTTGCGCATTTTGTTTGCTTTGAATAATTATGGGATGTTCAAGTTTTTTACTGTTAAAATTAATCAAAATGTTACATATGCAAAAATGAAAATGATATACTCATACTTTAATGTTTTAAACATTTTGATAAGAGTGTATGGATAAATAATACATTGTACGCAATTTCGGTATACTGATCTTTAATATAATACACTGATTACAATTCATAAAGAAAACACTATTTTAAAGTTACTAACTATACGCTATTAAGCTACGTTAAACTATTAAACTAAAGACCATTAAACAAAATTATACTATTGAACTAAACAATATTAAAATACATTAAACCATTACACTAAACACTATTAAATAACATTAAACCATTACACTAAACACTATTAAACTACATTAAAGTGTTAAACTAAACACTATTAAACTACATTAAACTATTAAACTAAACAGTATTAAAATACATTAAACCATTACACTAAACACTATTAAACTACATTAAACTGTTAAACTAAACACTATTAAACTACATTAAACTATTAAGCTAAACAGTATTAAACTACATTAAACCATTACACTAAACACTATTGAATTACATTAAACCATTACACTAAACACTATTAAATAACATTAAACCACTACCATAAACACTATTAAACTACATTAAATTATTAAACTAAACACTATTAAACTATATTAAACTATTAATTTAAACACCACTAAACAAAATTATAGTATTAAATTAAACACAATTGTTGAATTGACGTATTATCGTATTGTATTGTATTGACATAGAATTTTAAACACTTTATTGAAAAGTTATAACAAAAATACCAAATGATTTTGAATTGCTTTAGCTAAAACTTAACCAGTATTAAATTTATTAAAAATATATTATATATGTAAATACAGGCTGTTAAATAAATGTTAAATATTTTATCGAAAGATTACGTGGAATATACGAAATATTGAATGATTTTGTTCTTTAGTACGAAATGATAATGATAATCGAGTAAACGTCTTATTATCCGTATATCTTCTCGGATCATTTCCATCTTAACTTTAATATATGTATAATATGAATTTTTAATAATATAATATAAAGTTTGTATTATTAATGTAATACACTGTGAGGTTCGCTTTATTAATGAAATATAAAGCAGGTTTTAATTCAATGTAATGCGAAGTTCATTTTATTAATAAAATATGAAATATGTTTTATTAATGCAATGTAATGGGAAGTTTAATTTATTAATAAAATATAAAGTTTGACTTATAAATGTAATATAATATGAAATTTGCTTTAGTAATGCAATAAAAATAATTAAATTCTGTTGCAGACCGCAATTGAGATGAATACGTTCGTTTATGACCCGAGCAGCGAGATGCAAGTAAAATGTGTCACGCGGAGATCCTGAAGGATCATCCTGCTGTAACGGTATGTATATTTAGACATTGTATATGTATAGAGTGTCCTAAACTTAAAAGATCAAATGTATTCTATCTATTCTATCTCAATTCAGCATTGTATTCTATAAGTAAAAATATTTTTTAAAATTTCATTTCATTTTTTTCTTCGAGACTGTAGGTGTTTAGAATTTTAGGATTTTTAAAGTTTGCGGAATTTTAAGATTTTGAAATATTAAAATTTTGAAGTATTGAATTTTTTATGCTTTGGCGCTTTAGTGATTTGGAATTTTAGAATTTTAGAGTTTTAGGGTTTTAGAGTTTTAGAGTTTTAGAGTTTTAGAGTTTTAGAGTTTTAGAGTTTTAGAGTTTTAGAGTTTTAGAATTTTAGAATTTTAGAATTTTAGAATTTTAGAATTTTAGAATTTTAGAATTTTAGAATTTTAGAATTTTAGAATTTTAGAATTTTAGAATTTTAGAATTTTAGAATTTTAGAATTTTAGAATTTTAGAATTTTAGAATTTTAGAATTTTAGAATTTTAGAATTTTAGAATTTTAGAATTTTAGAATTTTAGAATTTTAGAATTTTAGAATTTTAGAATTTTAGAATTTTAGAATTTTAGAATTTTAGAATTTTAGAATTTTAGAATTTTAGAATTTTAGAATTTTAGAATTTTAGAATTTTAGAATTTTAGAATTTTAGAATTTTAGAATTTTAGAATTTTAGAATTTTAGAATTTTAGAATTTTAGAATTTTAGAATTTTAGAATTTTAGAATTTTAGAATTTTAGAATTTTAGAATTTTAGAATTTTTGAAATTTACAATTTTAGAATTTCAGAATTTTACAATTTTACAATTTTACAATTTCAGAAGTTTAGAATTTTAGAAATGCAGAGTTTTAGAATTTTAAAGTTATGGAATTTTGAAATATTTATATTTTGATATTTTTGTATTTTCATTATTTTAGAATTTTAGAAATGTACAACTTCGGAAATTCAGTATTTTAGAAATACAGAGTTTAAGAATTAGAAAATTATAGAATTTTGAAATATTTATACTCTGATATTTTTATATTTTCATTATTTAAAATTTGAAGCACCGAGACCGTGTCACTTCAAGTTTCCAAAACCGTGAAATTTTAGAAAATTGCAATTTTTAAATTTTAATATTTTTAAACCGTACAATTTTAGAGTTTAAAAATTTTGGGAGTTCAAAGATACTCTTAAATGTCTGTGCAGTGGGTATGGCGTAATGAGCGAAGAAGAATGCAGCACGGCAGAGGAGGCTAGATGAGCCCCAACCTTCAGAGAGTTGCATGTACGAATCATCAAAGAGTTATACACGAAACACAGAAACACACATCTCACAGAGAAAACGGAAGTGGAAACAAGCACGTGTGTGGAAGACTACGCGGTCCATACCTGGTCCGCCATTTTGGCGGCATGGTCCTTTGGGCCACTATACTATTCCTGCAAGGAGCTAGTTTTGTCGGTAAGCTTCATTTTGTTATACAACTTATATATAAAGTAATTCATCATCAGTATATTCATTAAAGTATTTTATCTTTTATCTTAGTTTTCAAATTTTCAAATTCTTATTATTACAAATTTTCAGATCCTTGGTTTTTAAACTTTCAAATTTACAAATTTATAAATTATGAAAAATCCAAATGTAAATAATAAATAAATTCTTAAATCACATAGGTACAAATTTACAAATTAATCGAATTTCAAACAAAAATCCCAAATTTCAAATTGTACAAATTCTCAAATGACCAAACGTCCATTTTAAGTTTCCAAATTCTCCAATATCTAAATGCCAAATTGTATAAATTCTCAAATTCCCAAACGTCCATTTTAAGTTTCCAATTTCTCCAATATCCAAATGTCCAAATTGCATAAATTCTCAAATTCCCAAATGTCCATTTTAAGTTTCCAAATTCTCCAATATCCAAATGCAAAATTGCACAAATTCTCAAATTCTCAAATTCTCAAACGTCCATTTTAAGTTTCCAAATTCTCCAATATCCAAATATCCAAAGTGCACAAACTCTCAAATTCCCAAACGTCCATTTTAAGTTTCCAAATTCTCCAATATCCAAATGCAAAATTGCACAAATTCTCAAATACCCAAACGTCCATTTTAAATTTCCAAATCCTCTATCATTCAAATATCCACATCACCAAAAAGTCCAACCCCTAAAAATTCTGAATTTCAGTATTCAAATATCTTTCCCAGTAAAATAACCCTCTCAGAAAATTGAGAATCAGTAGAATTCAAGCTCGTAAAGTTTATCCTGACAGATCGACTCGCATAGATCCCCTAATCGTATTATAAAAAACGCTCGAGTGGAAAAGTGAAAAAGCAATCTTATTTGCCCAGTCATCAGATTGATCGTCGCTCCTATTCATGACCGTCCATTTTCTTTTCACAGGCTCGGTGACAGGTATCCCAGGTGTTCCAGAAAATATCACGGTGATGTTCCTAAATCCAACGTCTGTCCGCGTTTCTTGGAGCACCAGTCAAGTTGAGCAAGTCGAGAAATACGACGTCACGTATAAGCCAACAGATGCCAGGTGCGTTTCCCGATTTCGGTATTTTATACGTGCTTTCTTGCCTTCTACATGCGCAGGGTCAATTTAGGAAAAATCACATGCACACGTCTCTCAGTATATCAACGTACGGAACACTATAAAGCGGCATTTACGTTAGCACTAAAACTACCAAACCGGTCAATTAACCGCTCCACAAGTTTCTTATTATTAGGTACACATTGTATTAAAATACATTCCTTCAAATCAGCATTGATTTTCATCAAGACAAAGAATAAATGTGTACACTAATTTATATTTCGTCATTTGTTTATCTATTTTTTAACTTCATTTTTAATTTCAAGTTAAGTACACATTTTATGCCGGTAGGTTTAGTGTTAAGACACACTGTACGATTTATTTGTATGGTTTTAGTAAATTGTTTTTATGATTGTAAGGATTAACCTATACTATGTTTGATAGAACACGACCACGTAAATTACTATTATTTTTTAATCAAATGAGGAATTAAAAACAATTATGGTAACCACTGTTATGATGTTTAATCAGTGTTTAAGAAGAACCCGTTACATTATCCAAGAGCGAAAGTACGCGTTTTCTTTACAACTAGAACATACTTAACCCAGATTGTGATCTTGCAAACTACTTATAACTTAAGGACTTTTACAGAACTAACTCGCGCAACAGTACGAGGTGTGACACAAAAGTAACGAGACTAGTCCAATAAATCATTGTACCTGCAGAATCAGTTCTCCGTGACATTATTGTCTTCAAAGTAGTCCCCTTCAGCATTCACACACTTTTGCATTCGGTGCTGCCATTGCTGGTAACAGTTCTGGAACGAGGTTTTTGGAAGTCCTTTCAGGAGATTTTCCGTTTCTGTCTGAACCTCTCTAACGGAAGTGAAATGGGTTCCCATTAAGCAAAATTTAACTTTAGGAAATAAAAAAAAGTCGCATGAAACCAAATCAGGTGAATAAGGAGGATGCCCCATCACAGTAATATTTTTACTGGTCAGAAACAGCTTGGCAAACAGTGCCGTGTGAGATGGTGCATTGTCCTGGTGCAACAGCCATCCATCGCTTCACAACTGTGGCCTGTTTTTCTTAATTTTTTCACGAAGTCTTTTTAGCATTTCAATGTAATAGTGTTAGTTAACAGTCTGACCACAGGAAAACCATTCAATCATTACAATTCCATTAATGTCGAATTTTGATTTTGACATGCGTGCTTTTTTGGGTTTTGGGGATCCTGGAGACTTCCACTCCATTGACTGGCGCTTACTTTCTGGGTCATAGGTAAAAATTCATGTCTCATCACATGTTACAAAAGAGTTCAACAAATTTTACAAGAAACTTGATGTTTATTCGCTGTTCGGTTTTTACGTTAGACACTTTTCCGGCAAAATGCAGTTACACGTGTTCACTAAATAACGCAATACTTCCAAATAGTATGACCGAAATTGGCAACATGGATAGAGGAAGTATGTGGGATGATGCCACAAAAACATTTGCTGCCAATTCCATTGTTTTTACAAGCTACAGACCTAGTCTTGTTACTTTTGTGTCTCACCTCGTATATATAAGTGGGTCATCTGGTGGCGAAATTGAGAAGCTCCGGTTTGTCTCTCTCCCGAGGAAAGACGAGGACAGCAACAATTTCGTCGACGCACAAGTTTCAAGTGAAGAAGCAATATTTTCTCGCGCTTTCTTCTCCAAAGTAGTCTTCGCGTAATTACGTGTCCGTCACGGAGCCCGATTTTACGATTTGGCTCTCAAAATGTTATAAAAATATATTTTCGTTTTTAATAAAATTTTAAGAGTCGAATCGCAAAATCGGGCACCGTGAGCCGCGTAATTATACGAAGAATATTTTGAAGAGGAAAGTACGAGAAATGTTGCTTCGTTGCTTGGAAATCTTGCGTCGGCGAAATTGTTGCTGTACTTGTTCCTTCACCGTGGACCAACGCTAAAGTACAGTATAAGAAAGCACAGTAGGTTCATTCGGTGTCGGCACCTTTGATCTCATGACTAAAAAATCGCTATGTTGCTGATTGTGCGCGGGCTCTAATTTGAAAGACACAAAAAGAAATAAAGAATTTTACTAAATATTTTAAAAGAAAATAAGACTCTAGAGTAATAACTCACTTGATGGGAAGAAAGTTGGAGCCATTGTAATTATATGGTACATAAATTATTGTGTATATTTACAAATAATTAATACCTTTGCGTTTATTTTGTTGTACATATGTATTAATTTATTTTTTAACCGAATTTGAAAAAGGAGGAGGTTACTCAATTCGATCAGTTGTTTTTTTTTTTCCCCCCTCTCTCTATGTATGCCCGTCGATTACGCCTAGCTGGGTGCACCGATCGGAACGAAACCTTTTGCATCTCGTAGAGTCTGACTCCCCATTGGTACCATTACCAAAAATTTTTTCATTTTTTAGTTGCAAAGTATTATTGTTGCAAACAAAATTGAAAAACGAATATCCATGTTATCTTTTACTTAATTATGCTCATGGCATTTACGCAGACCAAAAAAAGCCCGGAAGAACTGTCTCACAGTATCCCATACAATTCTCCCCATTCCACTAAAAAGCGTGAAATAAAATAATTTTAAGAAAAAAAATACACCGACTTCGAAATGCACTAAAAAGTATAAAATAATTTCTATTTCATTCAATCATACAATTACGTAACAGATATGAATGAAACCTATTTACTCGTTAGGTAGTATATTAAATACATTTCAACCTTTTCGGATGCGGCGCAAAATTAAAAGATTTTTTTGAACATGTGATTCCGCCGCTAGAGGTCTTCAAAGTTAATTCAGAATTAATCCGTCGCTCTATTAGATGCTTAAACACTGTTTGAAAGTTGTGGTAAATGTAACTGACGTAAACTTGTCATTGTTATCTGCCACAGTTAGACCATTACTTTTCTGAGCATCTAATTTGTGTGTATTTTCAAAATTTACTGTTTGGTTGTTATTATTATGGTGCAACACTATGTATATAATAATGGACAGTTTTAGGTATATTCTTTTGGGAGAGATTACTGTTAAGTATATTTATTTTTGTGTTGTATTTAATATAATTTGAAAGATAAATAAAGGTACGTGGTTATTGGAACAAAAAGCGTTGTAAGCTTTAGAGCAACAATAGAACTTATTACTATTATTTTATACAATATAGTATTATATTTAATAGAAGTATTGTAAATAATCTAATTCAGTCTTTTTATTTTGGGATGAAATTTATGGAAATTCATGATTTTCAAACCTTGTGAATTTTAGAATTCTACTATCATAAAATTGTAGATCTTTAAATTCTAAAAGCGTGATTTTAAAATTCGCCGTTTTTGTTATTTCATAATTTCATAGAATGTTGAACAGAATTGTATTGAATAACAATATATTGAATCGAAACGATTTGAAGGAAGATGCACCGAATTGAATCCCGTTAAATAGAAACTCCCGTTAAATAAAATTAAATAAATTTTAATTTATTTTGAATAAATTGTCGCCAAAAGAAAATAATATTAAATTGGAACGTGTTAATTGAATTATGTCAGATTAAATCACATAAATTGAGCCGCGTCGAATTGGACCGCGACTAATTGAACTGCATCGGATTGAACAGTGTTAAATTTAAACGTGTTAAATCGAATAGTGTTAATTTCAAATGTGCTGTATTGAATAGCGTTAAATTCAGGTGTATTAAATAGAAATACTTGAAATTGAATCACGTTTAATTAAAATGCTTCGAACAAAATCATTTTAAAACTAAAACATATCGAATTGGGTAGCGCTGCAAATTAATTTACTATAATTTCTCCTAAGGTATAACGTGCATTAATCGAGCCTCCGTTTAGCAAATATTTATTCTGGATTCTAAAAACAATAAAATCTCTTCCACTAGGACAAATTCGTAAAAATATCTATTTTCAAAAATTAAACGATTTAGTTTTAATCAGTTTGCTCAAAGATTGTTTAATGTAAATGCCGCTTAAGAAAAATGACAAGTACATTAAAATAAATATGATACTATCACTAATAGTATTTATTGTCACCCACAAAAATAGCAAATAAAGAAGAGTATTATACCTTGGAACCTTCTGTATCTCCTAATATTTAGAATAGCAGTGAATTACAACTCAAATTGCATCAAAAATTGCAATATTTAACGATGTTTGTTTTCACGTTCTCGAATGACGTTGATATACTGAATAAATATACTCATATAAAAAAATGCTTTTAGAAAATATTTCTGTCCACTTCACCGCAACACACGTATCCATTACGTAATCTAAACGTGCTAGTTTCATCTAATGCGTCATAAGCTTGATAAACTTTCGAAAAATTTTGTCCATTACATTCACGAGTAGTGTGCATCCAGATTTTCCTGCTTTCACAACGAATAGCGAGGAGTCGATCACGCTTAAAAGCAAACGATTAAAATTGGACGTTTCAGTCGATTTATCAATTGGTATCAGAGTCTATCAGTGTCAATTAATAAGAAAGACTTGATATTAATTGATGCTTTCTCCTCCTATTGCGGCACAGGGAACACAATGACAGGTACATAGATTTTCTACGGTATTCTATCAAAATTGCGAGCATTGCGTCGAGTTAGCGACAAGTCCGTTGTATCGGCAACGGGAAAGATTTTTTGTTCGATGACAACCTTAAACAGGATAGCGTAGCAATATTTCATAAGGTTGAATTTTTAAGTACGCCTTAACCTCTTCAGGGAGAAAATTATTAAGAATGGCGAGGGGTTAAGCTACCTTCGAGATTTAAAATGCATGTATAACTTTCAAGGTTTCTTTTGGCAAAGTGACAAGAAAGAAGAATACCTCTCAAGAGTTGTATAGTACAAATTCTAAAATATACAAAAGAATTAAAGGTTACGGTGGAACAAAGTGACGACACTGGAACCATCTGGCGCTAACCATTTTTGACATGACCTTTGGTCGCGGCCTGCAGCAGAACTACCCTATGTTTTGGAGTAGGAAAATTCG